TCCTTCCTTCCTTCCTTCCTTCCTTCCTTCCTTCCTTCCTTCCCAGTGGTTAGAATGCACTATTGTAGGCTAATTCTGCTTGCAGCCAGCAGTTCAATCCTGACCAGCTCAAGGGTGACTCAGCCTCTGTCCTTCCGAGGTGGGTAAAATTAGGATCCAGATTGTTGGGGGCAAGAGGTTGACTCTGTAAACCGCTTAGAGAGAGAGCTGCAAAGCACTGTGAAGCAGTATATAAATCTAAGTGCTATTGCTATGTCACCTTTTTTTTGGTGCCGTTGTAACTTTGAATGGTCACTGAACAGACTTGCAAGGCAAGGACTACCTGTATTCCTGTTATGCAAATGTAGCTGACTAAATACATCTTCAACAGGATTACTACTTGTGAACTCCCATCTTGAAGTCTACCTGGTGAGGCCTTTGCACACAACTCCACCTGGTTCAGATCTTCTGCTGGTTTCCTTGGGATGGGTGGTATCCCCCTCGAGCAGGGGTGTCAAACTCAAGATCCCGCTCATGGGGTGCTTAGATCTGGCCCGTGGGGCTGTCCTGGAAACAGTGAAGAACTGGCCCGCTCTGCTTCTGCCAGAGAAAAGGGAGCTCAGAAGGCCGCCGGCAGCCCGCCTGAGCTCCATTTTCTCTGGCAGAGGGCTGCAGGAGGACATCGCAGCTGAAAACGGAGCTCGGGAGCCTGTTTTCACTGGCAGAGCACTCGGGCCGCTTTTGGCACCCAAGGCAAAAAAGATTTGCCATCACTGCTATATTCTATTGTGCTCTGCTCTCCTCTCTGCTCTATTCCCTTGAAGTACAATATTATTTTTATTCAACAAATCAGATACTGGACCAGCATATGTCCTCAGCTCAGGCCGCTCCCAACACGAAGTGACGTCGAGCTGGCCACGCTCACTCTGGCCATCCCTCCCCCCCCCGGAGGTCAAAGCCAACCCTGATGCATCCCTCAATGAAATCGAGTTTGATACCCCTGCCCTTGAGCGAAATGCTTAGAAATGAATCTTGACCCCATTCTCTTTTGCTGATGGATTTTTCTTTTCTTTTTTGGGGGTGGGGTGGGCTTAATTCTGCAGGGAGTCATCCTCGAGGCTCGGAGGATGTCTGACGTGATTGATCTTTCGAACTACCTGCCCGAAGAAATTATGGCCGGTGTCTTTTCCTTCCTCTCGATTAGAGACAGATACACGGTTTCATACGTGTGCAAGGGATGGGCTGCGGCTGTGGCTTCCTCGGCGGTCTGGAGTTTTACCGAATTTAGGTAAGAAGGAGAGGAAGCCGCTTGTGCCCAGGCGATGGCATCATTGGTCATTGGCTGGAGCTCAGGCATCAAATTAAGCCCTCATTTGGTCATGTGGCATGGACCAGTCTTTACGGTTAGTGATCTGCAGCCCAGCACAATGTGCGAAATCGCTGTTTGTTTATTTAGCGTATGGCATATCATACACGGAGGTGCAATATAGATTAACATTTCACCTCGATTAGAAAAACACAATAAAATATAAATGTCAAATACCATCTCTTGCTTGAACAGGGGCCTGGAGTAGAAGATGGACTCCTGTTCTGTCCTGTTCTGTTCCATTTTCTGTTCTATTCTCTATTCTGTTCTATTTTGTTCTATTCTATCCCTATTCTATCCCTATTCTATCCCTATTCTATTCTATTCCATTCCATTTTCCTATTCTATTCTATTTTATTTTCTATTGTATTCTATTTCTATTCTATTCTATTCTATTTTATATTCCATTCCATTCTATTCTATTTTCTATTCTATTTTCTATTCTATTTTCTATTCTATTTTCTATTCTATTTTCTATTCTATTTTCTATT